TTGTTTACACAAAAAAGGTCTGTCAACTTTTTGTTCAGTGTTAAAATGACAGATTTGGATATAGTTATTTTGTTTTTTTTCCTTCTTCACAGGGGCAGGCATTCTTGCCATGGCAAATGCTGGACCAGATACAAATGGAAGTCAGTTTTTCCTGACATTGGCCCCTACACAATGGTTGGATGGGAAACACACTATTTTTGGACGCGTTTCCCAGGGCCTTGGAACACTGAACAGACTGGGCATGGTGGAAACAGACAACCAGGACAGACCGCTTGATGAAGTCAAAATCCTCCGGGCGTCTCCATTATAAAAACAGCACAACAAAGAAACTTAGGCTGTTGTGAACTAATATGTCAAGACTATTATGTGGATGCCAAAAGTTCAGACAGGCATTTTAAAACTTGTCACATCTGTCATAACTTTTATTATGCTTCAACCAGCACTAGTAGTAGTTGTTGTGTTTTTTTTTTTTTTTTACTCTAAAGTGCATACAGACAGGGCTTTTTTTTCCCAATCCACAAGTCTGTGGCTGGTTTTGGAGAGGATGTGTTTGGCCCTCCATGACTATGACCATCCTTTGCTTGAGGCTCTTCAGAGGAAAGTTGTACAGCCAGAATGTCTTTTTTTTTTTTTGCTCCTCTTCTTTTAGGCCAGTGGTGGTAAGTGCAGGATCTGTATCTTTGCTTCACAACCTAGTCTAAAGGACCAATTCTAGTCTTTAAGGATCAGGATTTGCACACATTACCAAAATTTACTGTTTGTTAAAATGTGGTTTGACAGGAAATTACTGTTTATATGAAAATGCTGGCTTGGATGTGGTCCTCAAAAACTGGAGTTGGGCACCCCTGAGTGACCTGGAACAAACATGAAAGGCAAGAGTTCAGACTTCTCAATGCAACTGGCTGCATGTTCATTTCAGGTCAGGCCTTCAATAGTTAATGAATGCAGAATAAAACTGGCAGACTCCAGGCTGATGCCTTCAATTACCACCACTGTAAGGGTCTGTGTTGATAGTATCTGTTTGAGCCACTTATGGGTTAATTTGCAATTTTGGTGAAAGGTGGGTTTGACCTACAGCAGACCTACATTTGACTTGCTTATTTTACAAAAGGATTTATTTTTTTTTTTCAAACAGACAGAGCAATCAATTCAACAATGAAGCGATGTGAGCTTAAGGGCTCGTTCACACTAGGCTGTTTTGCCAACGCTTGCCAAACGCCCCTATAGCTTTTGGCAAGCGTTGGTCCGGCGTTTGCGGAGCGTTAACGCTCAGCAAACGCCGCATGCGCGGTTTAGCGGAGGTTGCTAGGCGTTTGCCGAGCGTTAATAACGCCCCACAAACGCCTATAATGCAGTTTGAGTGGTGTTACCGCTCCGCAAACGCCCCGCAAACGCCGGCCGGGCGTTTGCGGAGCGGCACCATAGACGAGAATAGGAGGCTTCAAAGCCTCCTGACTCGTCCAGAGGCGTCCGTTTTGACGCAACGCGACGCAAACGCTTCCGTTAGAACAGCACCATGTGCTGTAATGTGCAGAATTGGCAGAGGCGTTGGGGAAGCGGTAAAAACGCTTCCCAAACGCCTCTCTGCCGCCTGCACACAAGGCTAGTGTGAACGTAGCCTTAAAGAGCACACATATTGACTTGCTTCAAACAGGTTGTGTTCCCATAGACTAATGTTGAAGGGGGGGGGGGGAACCCTGGAACACAGGCTCTAAAATTTTAGATAAGAACTTGGAGATTTTTTTTTTGGATGTACTTTAAAGAAATTAGCATTTTTTTACCAGTACATATACAAATCTTTTGTGTTCCTGTAAATATAAACAGACTCCATAGAAGAAAGTCATTTTTTATGCTGCATTATGTTTTCACATATGCTTTACACAACTTTCATCCAGGAAAAGCAATTGCATCCAGTTAGAAAAATGTGAGCATCTTTGGTAATTTCAGAAACATTTTCAAGGGTAAATCTCAAGGCATTAATATACAGCTTCTGTGTAATAAACAATTTAACCACTTGCTGTCCGCCTACTGTTTTTAAACGGCAGGACTGTGGCACTCCAAGGGGCGGGTTGCCGTTCATAAACGGCACCCGCTATTTCTAGTTGCGCACGCTCCGGTGCCGGCTGTGTCCTCTGTACAAGGTCCCGATCATGTGATCACTGATTGGCCAATCAGTGATCACATGCAAAGTAGTAAGCAAGATGTCACTCGTGACCTCATTGCTTACTACGTGTGAAATCTGTGAATGATCAGAGGTCACATGGTACAAGGCTATTCACAGCAGCCTTGTACCATGTGCCAAGCTCTGACCAATCACAGCTCACACAGTAGTTCTCAATGGCTGCAAGAATGCAGACAGAGAAATGATTGCTTTTACATCCTATATGGGTGTAAAAGCAATCACTGTAAAAAAAAAAAAAAAACTTCATCACCCCCCACAAGTAGTAGAGGGTCACCATGGTGACACTGTACTGCTAGGGTGACATCTTTTTAGTAAAAAAAAATATATATATATATATATTTTTTTTTTTTTACTAAAAAGATAACGGAATAAATTTTGGCCAAGATTTGATGAAATATTTATTCTCAATTTTTGGACTTTTTCATTTACATAGCAAAAAAAATAAAAAAATCCCAGTGGTGAATAAATACCACCAAAATAAAGCTTTAATCGGTCTCAAAAAAAAATGGTAAAAAATTAATATGGGTACAGTGTTGCATGACCGCGCAATTGTCATTCAAAGTGTGGCAGCACTGAAAGCTGAAAATTGCCCTGGACAGGAAGGGGGTAAAGCGTCTTTCTGGGCAAAAATGAATATCCACATTGATAGAGGAGATATGCTACCTGTTTATCTAGTGTCCTCTGATCCAAAATGACATGTCTTTGGTGTGAAGAATCAGCAAGGGTCAAGTGGTCTTGCTGCAGCAAGAAAGATTGAGTGCATTCTGAGCTCTGCTTGATGACATGCTCTAGGTGTTGCCACTGTGTATCTGCTTGGCTAATTGTCAAGTGGATTTGTTTAGCTGGCAGCATCTGGACATTTGTCCTCCTTGGGAATGCTAAATGTGCATCTCTTAGCTTCTCAGTTCAACAAGACTGCACAGGTTTGTCTTTAGTTCCTGTAAGTCCACTGGTGGAAGTAATAGTTGTAGTGGAGTTTCTGTGAGATCATTAAAATTCTCATCCCCTGAAGATGCTTCCCTTGTCCATGTGGAATCAAGGTGAAAGGCATTCTAAATAGTACTCATAGCCCCAGATCGGCCAGTGTGGTATACTGACCTAGTCCAGTTACTGGAAGATGCTGTGATTCAATCAAATATCTAGACCTCTATATCGTTTATGAACAAGTTAAACAGATTTGGTCCCAGAACTGAGCCCTGAGGAACACTGCTGTCAAGTCCAGACACATTAATTTACAGTTTAGGTCTTTTGATATTTTAAGTATAACTAATGTTTAGTTTTGGAGAGAGTGCAGAGGGATTAGAACACTTGTCTGTTTTTATTGCCGTTTGTACTCCATTAAGGAGATTCACCTTCTCTGTCCTTTTTACCATTACCTGTGAATGTAAAAAAAAATTCCCCATTTTGGGGTTTGTCCCCAGAAAAGTCAGAGGGAAGATCTTTCAATAGAGGAACTAGTTCTGGTGACTTGGGGGTCCCCAAGAAATTTCCTTAGCTCTAGCCAAAGTGGGAAAAAAAAAAAAAGGTTTTGCCTAAAGTTTACGCTTACTGTATCAAATGTCTTAGTGAAATCTAGATGTCCAAAGGCTTTCCAAATTACAGCTTACCTCATAGAATGTTAAAAGGTAGGTCGAAGAAGAGGGAGACAGCTCTATTCATTGCTTTTATGTTGCTTGAGCTTGGCCATGGCTTAATTTAGAAAGACAGTTTGTAATTTCTGTCCTCCCAAAGCATCCCAAGAAGGGGTACCCTGGCTTCTAGTTCCAGTATTTATAGGAGGATTCCTAGAATAATGATTCAAACCTATGGTCTAAAGCAGGGACTCCACCAAACCTTGGCATGGTGGAGATCTACCTGAACAAAATGGAAGATCAAAGATCATAATAGTGTAGAGACAAAAACCTAGAAAAATATAATACTTTATAAAATATCACCAAACTGTACCTAGACTAAGTTTATATTTTTAGTGTATGGAAATGTAGCAATATTATCTATGGCAAAAGACCTAAAACTGTAAATTAGTATAACTAAAGTTATATAGTTTTGAATAAAGTGCAGAGGGCTTAGAGCACTTATCTGTTTTTATTGCTCTCTGTACTCCCATTAAGGAGATTCACCCCTAAACTGTAAATGAAAGTATAACTAAAGTTATTTAGTTTTGGATGCAATGCGGTGGGATTAGAGAGCTTGGCTGGAGCCATAAATTCCATTAAATGTTAAATTACATTTCTCCTATATACTAAATGCAATCTGGTCCTTGGCTCACACACTCCCAAAGGTTTCCCAGGTGAATGTGTTAACCTCTGCCATCTTTGGATACAGTGTTACAGGAGGAGGCTCTCCCTGCGAGGAGACTGCTGTTACTTGCAGACTTCTGGTGGTGATTTTTTGCGTTTTCCAAATAAAAAAAAAAATACTTGAACAAGAAAAAATATATAAGCTCTTAAAAATTGTATGTATATATATATAAAAAAAGTGTATATATAAAAAATACACACTAATTTTCTCGTCAACAAACTGCCCTGTATTGCACTAAACACAAACACAGTTTTAACAGCCTGCTTTTTCTTATTTATTTATATATATGAGTACATTTGGTTCCACTTTGCCACCGTAATATCCCCTGAATTAAACAGTCCAACTGGTCTTTGTTGTAAACAGGAACAAACAAAAGAGCATGACTAATATTGCAGGAGTAAATGAAAATGACTAAAGTCCAATAATGTAATGGTCTGTTGTAATGGTTAATAGGTCCTGTGCACCGGCATGGATTTATGCACTGTTGACTTCCATTTTCTGCATCTGAGATTCTAGATCACTATTTTGACTCTTTTTTCCTCCATCCTGTTTCCTTTGTTTTTTTTGTCAGTTCTTGATCAATTGGAGCTGGCTTCACAAATGTTATTATATCCCTAAGTCCTGTAGGGAAGAAAAACAGTGATAATTTAAGGAGATCCATTTGTCAACTTAAACTGCAGGTAAAAAGCAAATTACATCAAGTATTAAAAAGAAGTTTATTTTTTTTAAGCCATACTTACCTAGGTGGATGCTGCATCTGTCCCCCAGAGGCTCTAAGTGTGAGAACTGGGAGAGGATTAGCCCAGGAACAGACAGTGGTGACTGACAGTGGCTGTGAGAACTCTCTCAAAGGAGGAAGGCTTCCAGGCACCCTTAGTGGCAGGGATTTCCTGCATTATTATGCTGCATTTATTAAACTGCAGTGTTGAAGTACTACTTTTATCTCTCGACTGTGCTGCTTTCCTTACACAGTGGTGTGCTGTGTAATTTCTGGTCCAGCTTTGCTACCTCCTGGCCGTATGCACATAATTACAGTACCACAGCAACTGATAGGCAGAATTTCCTGTGGGGCTTTGCTCACCTTGCCATCTCAGCCTCGAACCAGAAGTAACATGGTGGAGCCAGGATGACTAGGTATTAAAAAATCGCACCTCTGGCCTGGTAGCTGGCAGGTCTTTCTGCTCTTCAGCAGTTTCTAACCTCCCTTCTGTCAAAATGTCTTCCTAGGCTTTTCATGTATACTTTCCTTTTTGCTCTGAGTATTCTTGGTTGTCGTTTTTTCCATTTAGCACACTTTCCACTTATTGCATACATACTCTTTCCAGATGATGAAAATGCTTCATAAACTGTCCCCCAAAGGACCCTGTGTTGGTCCCTTTCAAAGTAAGTGCCATTTTAATTTAGGTCAGTGATGGCTTTACCTCCAGCCCAGGCTAAAGCCCAATTTGTAGGCATATAGGGGAGTTATAGCCAGCACTTCAGCCACCCTCCCCTTCTTTCTGCAGCCCTCTGCCTACAAAGACAGACAAGCTGCACAACCCCTACCCCCTCCTACTCTAAACGCTGCCAAACATCCATATAATCATGCAGCCTTGTGCCTTCTCTGTAAGCTTCTTTGGAGCAGCAAGAAAGATGAAAGCCAGGTCTCCCAACCACTCTCAGGGCTAAGAGTGGGGTAGTTATAGTCAGCATGTGATGCTGTGAAGGACAGAGGCTGGGGAAAGGTGGGAGTCAAATCTCATACCTCAATATTTCAGTAGCGGGCAACAATCTTTTCGTTAAGTCACTATAAACATTCCTACCTGCACAAGATCATGTAGTTTCACACAGTGTAATTTGTTGCCTATAGTGGCGTACCTTTTTAACATGCCTGTGGCAGCCGTTTCTGTATAGAAATTGCAATCAGTATGCCACTGACTTTCATGTGAAATATGAGAACAGATAGTTTGTGTACAGCTGGTGCAGTTGAGAACTACAGAGTTTCTTCACAGGAAATAATTAGATGTGACATGCAATCAGGCAAAAAACATACACACAGCACTCACCATGCAGCTGAAAAATTGTTACATTAGCATGGGATGGCAAGGCATTTGCCAGATGCTGTGTGATCCAGAACAGAAAACAGTCTTGTCCATTTGGTGCATAAGGACAAGCAAGCTGAACCGATAGATAACTTTTTCGCGCTACACTTACATAGATAGATATCATACATATATCAAAACCACGATTAAATGTGAATAAAAATAGTCCCAGCAAAGGTGACTTGGAGTAAAAGTGCACACTAACCAGATGTGCACATTAAAAGTGCAATGTAGAGCTCATAAGGCTCATGGAGTAATCATCAGAGTAGATCGATACTATTGTCCCACATTGGAGAGGCACATATAAGACTCGGGCAGTTTCCCAACTTGAAACTAGATATATCTGCCAATTAGAAACCTCATACCCAAGGGGTCTAAACGTCAAACTCGACGTGAATTGCTTCATAGACAATAGTTGAAATCAACAGTTTCCCAAACTTTCTTCCTTGTCAATTCTCATTTTATGTATTCAATTTTTTCATTCCCTTTTTTTTTTTTTTTCTTTTTAATGGAGTTATTATTTGCTTTTATTGATGTTTAAACTCTTAATGAGTGTTAAGATTTTTATATATTCAGTCCTTTTAATTTGTGGCTGTTTTTTTAATATGTTACTTAAAATGTAAGTAATATGTTCCTCCCCTTCCCCTTTATTCCTCCCCTCCCCCTGTTTTGTTGTCCTGTGATTCCACATTCCCCTGTGTGGTTTTTTACCTGCATTATTGTTTTTTTTTTTTCCTGTTTAATTCTTCTGTTAAACAGGTATTTGGTTACCTTGTTTGACAACTTACAATTGTTATTTTACTGCCATCTTTTCAATGGTTGTGCACTATTTGGACTTCAACAAAATGGCACCGAGCAATTGCGCATGTGCCATTTTGTCTATTTAATTTGGATCGATATGTCATTGCGCCCATTGGTTCTTTCTCTGAGGATGTGCTTGGCACGTAACGCGTAAGGAGGAGCCTACACACGCCGTCGGAACATCGTGGAGCTCCAGCGGCTATTACATCTGACAGGACGGTTAGTCCTGTCTGTACTTACTTGTTTTTACTGGCTGCATCCCCTCTGCTACTGTCATTTTTATTACAATAAATTGTTTATGCAATACTTCACTATGGGCATCTTTTCTTGACCCCCCCCCCCCCCCCGTAGGGAGCAACCTTTTCCAGATACGTTTTTTTGCCCAGTGGAGGAGTCGTTTTCTTCAGGCGGATAATCATTCTGTTCTCGGTAGTCAAGGAGTCTCTCTTCCTGCCCAGCTCTGCACCACCCGGGGATCCTCTCTGACCAAGAGAACACCATTTCTACTCTGATGATTGCCCCATGAGCACTTTTAATGTGCACATCGGGTTAGTGTGCACTTTTACGCCAAGTCACCGTTGCTGGGACTATTTTTATTCACATTTAATCATTGTGTTTTTCATATATGTATGATAACTTTTTAGCGCTGCACTTTTATAGATATTTTCTTGTGAGGATTTTTTGTTGATTATCCCGTGTGCCTAGCTGCTTTAATTTCTAAAAAAAAGCACGCTCACTTATTCCTTTACTTTAATACATAGATATAGGGCAATCAATCAGCCATTTTACTACAAATTGTAGCCACAACATGTAAGCCCATCATTACAAGACAAACAAGCAGCACAGTATACAAATACCTAGTTAGATCATCTATTAAGGTTGCCTTCAAATGTTTTAGACAAAGAGTAGCAGAGAACATGGAAAATGTACTCTATCAAGAACCTCAGCTCTAAGGCCCAAGGAGGTAAGATTGATATCACCCACCCAGTCTGCCCACATTCTGCTAAAAACTTTTAAATGAGCAGTTACAAAATTTAGAGACAAAAGATGTTCCTACATCAAATCTCCTTTACAAGCAATAGTAAAGTAATTCAAGTCCGTTCTCAGAAATTGGGAGCGTTTTATGCTATCCTCTTCTTGGTTCCAAAATATTCACGTGAATACAGGGCATAGGAATTGAAACTTGTCAACTGTTTTCTGTGTGAAGTTGTTCACGAAGAAGTTAACTGCTTCCCAACTGCCTTATAGCTGAACTACTGCTACAGGGCAGCGCAAAATCACGTTTATATATGTGATTTTGTATTTCCGGGTTGGCGGCTTCAGCTGTCAATCACCGAGTCTCGGAGGGCGATTCCCCACTGGCACCCGGCGATCGCAGAGTATCACTGATGGGAAAGATGTCTGTATGTAAACAATACAGATCTCTTCCCCCATCAGCACCAGCACGCTGCTTCGTATGCCTCTCGATAGCAACGCCATACAAAGCAGCGTGCTTACATAGTAAAGCATACACACAGCACGCAGTGTGGTAAAACACAGTTAACCCTTTGATCGCCCCAGATCAAGCCAGCTCCTAAGCTAAAATCTTGCCAAATATCATCTGTCCTTCCAACCCCATGTACAATCGCTGGCTAACTCATGCAGGCTCCACCTCCGTAACATCTCCAAAATACATACATTCCTAACCCCAGACACAACAAACAACTCATTCACTCCCTTATCTCACGATTCAACTACTACAACTCCCTCCTCACCGGCCTACCTCCTCCCAGACTATCCCCACTTCAGTCTATCCTGAACTCAGTGCCAGACTCATCCACCTTTCCAACTGCTCCACATCTGCCACCCCCCTCAGGCAATCGGAAGCCAATGGAGGGAATGACAAACATATTAAATTCAAACTACTAACATTGACGTACAAAGCCATTCATAACACTGCCCCAAACTACCTCACCGACCTGATACCCAAATACCACCCGACCCGTAGTCTTCGCTCCTCACAAGACCACCTACTTTCTAGCTCCCTGGTCTCCTTCTCCCATGCCCGACTGCAGGACTTTCCCCCATCCTCTGGAACTCACTACCACAATCCATCAGACTGTCAGCTACCCTCCTCACCTTTAGGCACACCCTGAAGACCCATCTCTTCAGGGAAGCCTACCCCACCCTCACCTAACAGCCAATCTCCTCCACTCCACCTACCACTCCATCCCCCACAGCCACTTCCTCCTGTACCACTATCCCCTCCCTCCTAGATTGTAAGCTCGAAAGACCAGGGCCCTCAAACCTCTCGTATATTGTTTTGTTACTGTATTGTCCCCCACTATATTGTACAGTGCTGAGCAAAATTTTTGGCGCTATATAAACACTGTATAATAATTTGTAAGGCAGCAAGCTGCATAGTAGAAGTAGCAGCTGGTTCACAAGTAGCCTTTAGTTCCACAGAGGTAAGTGCCTAGGCCCAAACTAGAATTTTTTTTTCCCCTATTCTTTGCACAAGACCCTGACATCGCATTAACCCCTTCACGCCAGCCACACACAATCTGTGGCCTCCCAGCGTCTGGGCCTAGATGCCGAGCAGCCACATATTTGTGTGCAATTAACAAAAAACATGTGCTGAGAGCGCACACCCTGTGCGCTCACAGCACACATGTCCGGTACTCACGGAAAGGTCCCGCTCTGCTCTTCGATCGTGACCTTTCCCGATCATGTAACCGCCGTGACGACCTCCGCCCATCCCGGCTTCTGAAGTTCTTAAAGGGCCAGGAGGCGCTGGTGGGAAGGGGTTAAAAGAGGACCTATCACCAAAAATCATCATATATGGGAATTTCTGTTCCCTATACGATGGGTGGAAAAAAAAAAAAAAGTAATTTTTTTTTTAATTTTAAGAAATTAACGCACGTGTAAAAATGTCAAATGTCAGTTGCGATATACATGTTGCATATCGCCATGCACGCAGGCGTGAGAGCTATATTCCTGGCACCAGACCTCCTTAACGCCAAACTGATGATCTATATGGGGCCTTTAAATCTTTGCCTATTACAAATATAAGGTACTGAGGTTTGTTGCCATTTCATGGGTGCATGTTTGACATGTTGAGTATCTCTTTACTTCGTACAACCTCAATCTTTTATATTTTACAAATTGGGTAATTTAATGCATTTTTGTGCCCTAAAATTAGGTTTTTACTGAAATTTTGCATTTCCTAGACCTTCACTATAATTTTGTGACAAAAAATTGCAACTATCGTTACTTTATTCTCAAAAAGGTGTCTACTTTCAGAAAATATACGTTTTGGGAGGTTTATGCAATCTTCAGGCCTAAAATTATTATTATTATTATTTTTTTTTTTTTTTTTTAAACGTGCAAAAACAGCTCTGGCAGCAAAAAAAGTTAAAAGCCATCAATTTCGAGTTAACCATGAATAATGACCCTAGAATGAATTTTCAGGTGTGCTGTGTGAAAATCCTTCCTGGGATGACACACACACACAATACCTGGTGAGGTGTGTGTGGCATATAAAAGTGTATGGGAAACATTCACTTCCACTAGAAAGGTGACTGGCAGTCAGTTAATAGGCTGGTTACTGCCACCCTATATTGGTGGAAAAGTGAATTAGGCTGTTTAACCACTTGCCTACCGGGCACTTATACCCCCTTATTTACCAGGCCAATTTTCAGCTTTCAGCACTGTTGCAATTTGATTGACAATTGCGCAGTCATGCAAGATTGTACCCATATGAAATTTTTATCATTTTTTTTTCTCACAAATATAGCACAAAAAGTAAAGTGCCCAGCAGCGATTAAATACCACCACAAGAAAGCTCTAAGCACAAAAATTGCAAAAAATTTTGAAAAGAAAAAAAAAAGTTTTTTTGTTTTCTATTATAAAATTTTTCAAACAGGTAATTTTTCTCCTTCACTGATGTGCATTGATGAGGCGGCACTGATAGTGCTGTCTCAGTACCCATTATCAGTGTCGCCTGATAGGTAGCACTGACTAACATCACTGCTGGGCACTGACTGGCACAACCGCTGGGCTGCACTGGTGGGTGGCACTTCTGGGCACAGGTGGTGACACTGCTGGGCACAGGTGGGTGGAACTTGTGTGTGGCACTGCTGGGCACCAATCATCAGGGCTCTGACAACTGCCGGTTTTCGGCAGTACTTTCCTCACGATCTGACAGCGTGAGGAAAGTGCGGCCGAGAACCGGCATTTGCATTTTCCCGGTGATCAGCGTGTCATTGGACACGGCTGATCACGTGGTAAAGGCCGCTGTGATTGGCCTTTTACCACGTCACGTGATCAGCTGTGTCCGTAGGACACAACGATCACAGAGATCGCCGGGTGCGCACCCCGGGGGGCGCGCAGGAGAGCGCGTTCTGGGAGGACGTCATATGACGTCCACCCAGAACTGGCCGGCCACAGTGCAGCCGTCATTCGGCTATCTGCGGTCGGCAATTAGTTAAGAGAGCTGTTCTGGAGTCTTGGCAATTCTAACTTACCTGTCATAGCGAAACACCTTGTTAGCTACATTATGGAAAATTCAAAACTGCTCCTTCCCAGACAGAAAAATTACAAACTAGAATACTAAAGAATTTAATTTTGCCACATCCAAGTGGGCAGTGCCCAGCATCATTCTCAGGGCTTGTGGATGTCTATTCATGGAATACTTTTACAGATAAATCACATGCCAAAAATGTTTTGGGAAATGTCCATAATAGGCTGTTCACTTTGCAAAGTGAAATTTCACTAACCTCTGATAAAATTCCCCAGCAAAGAATAACTGTTTGCAAGGAAATAATTATATTGACAATAATAAAAAAAAAATATATAAAAAAAATATATATATATATATATATATATATATATATATATATATATATATATCAACACACCTTCACAGTGAACAGGCCATTTGCCTTTAGTAAATCAACCTCAGTCATGGCAGGACGGTGGGGACACCTACTTAGCCCTGGACTTCTACTTTCACACTTGTGGGGTGCATGCTTTGAGCAGCTAGTGGATTTTTAAATAGACAAAATCATCTAAGACTAAGGGTTCCTTAAAAGGCTGAAAAGGCAGTGGATGGGGATGTTCACATAGCACAGTTGTGATTCTTATTATTATACATTTATATAGCATCAACAGTGATGCTTTGCAGCAAAAATCCACACCCACCCCATTTGGCAGGCAGTACTGCACAGAACACAACCCATTCAGTTGATGGCGGTGCAGCATGTACAGATAGTGCATGGGGTTAAAATAAACAGTGATGAACATCATATCACCCCTTTCCTTTGAAAAGCAGTTAGGCTAGGTTTAGATTGCTCAAAAGCAATTTACAGTCAAACAGCATGATAATTTAACACAAAAATATGGACAATCAGAACTGGAATCAGATTCAAGATGTAAAAAGGATGTTAATTGTTATACTGACCAGCAGGCATGAAATCTCTGAGTTTTTCTGGTACAGTTATTCCTTCTTCAGTCTGATAATTCTCCAAAATTGCACAGATGGTTCGCGTTGTAGCACACATAGTAGCATTTAACATATGCACAAATTCAGCCTGCAACATACAAGTTGGAACATTTTTAGTTTTTGAGATTCAGTTTTTAATTAAATATTGCACTATTTATTAGAAATGGTTTAGAAAACATACAAATTAACAACAAAAAACAAGCTACGGCTAACAAGCCAAGTAAGTCGACCAATTACAAAACAAAAAATAAATACAATATACAAAAGAGAGGAGAAACATGCCCGTGTTGTACAGGGAACTTCAGTATACATTCAGGAGAGATAAGACCCCCCCCCCCCCCACCCAAAAACACATACATCCTACAGGTTACAAAAACTCTCTCCCCACCAGTTCAATAAAGGCATTTTTGTCACATAGTCCAGGAACAGGAATTCACTGGCCAGAAAGACCACTAAGCAATGTACATTAACAATCCAATATAATTATTACATGATCTGCCACTAAAGCAACCCAGCCGCCCCAGACTTTATCAAATTCACAGCTGATGTGTGGAGATAGGTCTGCAGACAGGTGGCGCATGTGCAAGGTATGCAAGCCCTGCCGGGATTTAGAGATTTACTAGGTAGCCGGTTCAAGCCAAGGTCAGGTACGTGGGAATCAGAGCAGACGTAGTCAGATGGGATAGGCGAGGTCATACACAGAGGAGCGAGAGAGAGTTTCCGTGAACCAAGCCAAGGTCAGATCAGGGGTTAAGCAAAGTAGACAGGTCCAAGAGCAAGCCGAGTCCAGGTCACAATAACACAGGAAACAGGAACAAGGCATGGGGGGCTAGAGATCATCTAGCAACTTGAGGAAGTGATGAGCCTCCTTATAAAGGCCATCTGGCACCAAACTGAGGCTGATGTGTGCTTCTGCGGTCATGCCAAATCTTCCAGAACTTCTGCGTGGACAGGACCCGGACAACCCCAAAAAGTCAGAATAACATCCCTGTTTCTCCAGCCAACAATTCAACTCAGCCAGGAGACTATCGCCCTAAACATGTAAAACACTAAAGCACTTGGCAATGGTGGGAGGAAGGGAACCCTCCCCTTTCCAGTGGAATGTAGGACCAACCTCATTGCTTCGGTCTGTGAATCGAGGCCACATAGCAAAATGAAAGGGGGGGGGGGGATAAAAAAGGAGAACATTTCACCGACCACATCCTTGGAGAAAGGAAAGCATCAGGCACACTTGTAGACTTTCAATCAGGAAAGAGAGTCCAACCAGTCCACCGCAGAAGCAGGGGTATCAAAATAGTGAAGTTTGCTGGGGGTAAATATTCTATGTTGAAGACACTGAGCCTCTGCCAGACATGAACAAATGATCTGCGACGTTTTTGCAGCTCAGATGAAAATTCAGGAAAAAAAAAAAAAAAAGTACAAATCTGCATTTTCAAACCTCAGGGATTGTTTTCTTGCCTCCGCCAAAATAAGGTCCAGGTAATTCAGTAACCAGACCAAGAAGGAGCATGGGGTCCTGGAGCCCATTGGAACTCTATGCGCCCATTCCAACTGGTAGGCCGGGTAAATCGATTGCTGAGGGTTTTTTTAGGCAAGTGCTGAATTTGCAAAGACAGCAGGATTGTCCCCTTCAGCACCCTCAGGCAGGCCCACTACTCGTACATTATTCCGGCGTAATCTGTTTTCAGCATCATCAGAGCAGGCCATAAGGAGAGTAACAGTGCGTTGTAAGTCTGACAGGGTGCGGGCCTGAGAGGATGACTTTTTTTGAGCTCTTCAGCACAACCAATTCGGAGACAAAACAAACTTCATTAAAACAATGCAAGGAGCAAAGAAATAATTTTGATTGGTAATTATTGGTGCAATGCTTAATTTATACTCGGACTTCAATATACAGAACACTGACTGGCTGACATTTTAGAGGAAATTGGTTAGTAAAGGTCACTGATCTTGACACTTAATGCTTTGCCACTTGGACTGTTTACTGAATAAGCTGTGCTTTATTATAACTAATGACAAAAATCATCATCATCAATCATCTTTCTGAGGCAATATAGGTCAAAAATGTACAGCCAGTTTAATACCGCTTTAACCACTTGACAACCGGGCTATAGCCGAATGATGGCTACAGCGCAGTTTTCCAGTTCTGGGCCCAGAACGCGTCCCCCACAGCGCTCACCCAGCGCTGTCTGTAATACCTACGGATCACATGACAAGGTAAAAGGCCAATCACATTGCAGCCCCAAAAGTGCCCAGCAGTGCAGCATCCTCAGTGCCTCCTCATCAATTCCCACCAGTGTTGCCTCATCAGTGCTGCCTATGAGTGCCGCCTTATCAATGCACAACAGTGAAGGAGAAAATTTACCTGTTAGAAACAAAGAAATATTTATTTTTTTCAAATTTTTTGCTATTATAAATTTTTTTTTTTTATTATAGTGAAAAAAAACAAAAAAAACCCAGTGGCAATTAAATACCAGCAAAAGAAAGCTCTATTTGTGTGAAAAAAATTATAAAAATTTCATATGGGTACAGTGTTGCATGACTGCGTAATTGTCATTTAAAGTGCAACAGCACTGAAAGCTGAAAATTGGCTTGGCCAGGAAGGGGGTAAAAGTGCCTGGTAGGCAAGTGGTTAAGTACTGACCATATAGTATATACAGTGGGGATCGAAAGTTTGGGCACCCCAGCTAAAAAATTGTATTAATGTGCATAAAGAAGCCAAGGAAAGATGGAAAAATCTCCAAAAGGCATCAAATTACAGATTAACTTTTGCTGACATATTATAAGAATGTCTAGATTTTATTTCCATCATTTACACTTTCAAAATAACAGAAAAAAAAAAAATGGCATCTGCAAAAGTTTGGGCACCCTGCAGAGTTAATATCGTGTACTGCCCCCTTTGGCAAGTATCACAGCTTGTAAACACTTTTTGTAGCCAGCCAAGAGTCTTTCAATTCTTGTTTGAGGTATCTTTGCCCATTCTTCCTTACAAAAGTCTTCCAGTTCTTTGAGATTTCTGGGCTGTCTGTCACGCACTGCTCTTTTAAGGTCTATCCATAGATTTTCAATTATGTTGAGGTCAGGAGATTGTGAAGGCCATGGCAAAACCTTCAGCTTACGCCTCTTGATGTAATCCCCCGTGGATTTCGAGGTGTGTTTAGGATCATTATCCATTTGTAGAAGCCGTCCTCTCTTTAACTTCAGCTTTTTCACAGATGGCATCAAGTTACCATCCAAAATTTGCTGAAATTTTATTGAATCCATTTTTCCTTCTACTCGTGAGATGTTGCCTGTGCCACTGGCTGCAACACAACCCCAAAGCATGATTGATCCAACCCCATGCTTAACAGTTGGACAGAGGTTCTTTTCATTAAATTCTGTGCCCCTTCTTCTCCAAACATACCTTTGCTCATTCCGGCCAAAAAGTTCAATTTTAACCTCATCGGTCCACAGAACTTGTTTCCAAAATGCATCAGGCTTGTCTATATGTTCATTTGCAAAGTTCAAACGATGATTTTTGTGGTGAGGACGTAGAAGAGGTTTTCTTCTGATGACTCTTCCATGAAGACCATATTTGTACAAGTATGTCTTTATAGTGGAATAGTGTACCACAACTCCAGTGTCTGACTGCACGATCCCTCCAGAAAGATCTGGCAAAGGTGGGTTTTGAATTGTTTTTCTCACAATCCTGCGAGCTGTTCTGTCTGATATTTTTTTTCTTGGTCTTCCAGATGTTGCTTTTTTCTTGGTCTTCCAGATGTTGCTTTTTTCTTGGTCTTCCAGATGTTGCTTTAACTTCCACTGTTCCTGATGACTGCCATTTCTTAATTACATTCCGAACAGAGGATATTGACATCTGAAAACGCTTTGCTATCTTCTTATAGCCTTCTCCAGCTTTGTGAGCGTCAACTGTTTTCAGTTTCAGTTTTCTAGACAACTGCTTAGAAGAACCCATGGTGCTGATTGTTGGGGCAAGGTCAGATGAGTCTGGGCATTTAAAACCTTTGAGATTGACATCACCTGGTCTTCCCAGACGATGATTGAGAACAATCCATGACACTGGCAGGTCTCAGCTTTGCAAAAGGGGGCAGTGCATGCTATAAATTCTGCAGGGTGCCCAAACTTTTGCAGACGCCATTTTTTTGTTTTCTGTTATTCTGAAAGTGTAAATGATGGAAATAAAATTAACTTTTGCTGACATATTATAAGAATGTCTAATCTGTAATTTGATGCCTTTTGGAGATTTTTCCATCTTTCCTTGGCTTTTTTATGCACATTAATACAAATTTTTAGCTGGGGTGCCCAAACTTTTGATCCCCACTGTAAATTGCGGAAAGTTTTTTTTTTTTTTTAAATTCAGTCCCCCTGCAGCTTTATACCATAATGTGCTAGTATGCATCAAATCCTAGATTTTTAACGGACCTATCTACCACTGGAGGTGGTGCACTGTCAGAGGGAGAGCACTTCCAACTTCACCCGGGCTTCCTTCTGGGTTCACTCATTTCAGTCTCTTGAATATACGGGCCATGATGACATCACTCCCACAGAGTGAGTACACAATGTACTCTGAGCTGTGCATGTGCAGTTCAGTATACATTGCTTCTGACAGGCATGACCAATAGGGTCTCTTCTGCCATGAATTCCCTGCCTGTCAATTTTTTAGGTTTAATACAACTTTAAATGAAAACAGTACAGAAAGTAAAGAGAGATGTGGGCAGCCATTGTTGAATTCTACTGTTTCTGATCTGCATGCTAGTTATGGTTAGTATTGAAACAATTGGATCAGCATGACAGCCAGGCAACTAACATTTAAAACAAGGAGGTCAGAAAAGGCAGCCTACATATTTCTCTCAGTATAGATCATCTTTACTCTCTGAATATCGGAAGAGTTAGGCTACGTTCACACTAGCCTTGTTTGCAAGCGGCAGACAGGCATTTGGGAAGCGTTTTTACTATGGTCTATGGTGCCGCTCCGCAAATGCCCGGCCGGCGTTTGTGATGTGGTTGCGGAGCGTTAACACCATTCAAACTTCATTTTAGGCGTTTGTGGGGCATTTTTAACGCTTGGCAAACGCCTAGCAACCGCTGCTAATCCACGCATGCAGCGTTTGCAGAGCGTTAAAAAAACGCTCCGCAAACCAATGCTTGTCAAACGCTATAGGGGTGTTTGACAAGAGTTGGAAAACAGTCAAGTGTGAACGAGCCCTTAGTTTGCAAGTGACATGAAGGGATCCTATGTAATGATTAGCTTGATCAAGTTCAACATTAAATATTCACTTTTATCATCTGGAGATCCATTGAATGGAGCCCCCCCCTCACACTGATTCACACCTTAGGCCTCACTCAAGGACTACTTGCTAACAGCAATACAAGCAGCTGCTGCGTTTCCTGATATACTTATGTAAACAGCAAAATACATGTATTTCTAAGCCCCCACAGGTATTAAAACAAATCCTTTGTATAGTATCATACCAGTCTGGATGGCTGATTATTGCAGATCCCAGCCAAAATAAACGTAACATATTCATGGCTAGTATATTCTTGACAAGAACCCACCATAGAAAAAAAAATACTGAGAAAAGTGTCACAGCTGAATAGTTTAAGTAAAACTAAAGGCAAAACTTTTTTCCATTTTGGATAGAGTAGGGGTATAGATTTTTTTGCCATCTGTGTCTCATTTTGGCGATTCTCCTCACTTCCTGTTCCAAACCCAAAACAGGAAGTGAAAGAAAATTCATCCCCCCCCCCCACCCGTCACTAGAACTATTGTCCCCATTGGAATATTTTCCCTCTATTCCAAAAGGTGGCCACTAAAAATTGTACTCTATAATTACCACCAAAGGTGAAAGTAAAAGAAAGTGGTCAAATAAACAAAAACAAAGTATTTGACACTTTGTTTGTGGTGGAATTCAGAGTTTTGGACACTCCAATTTTTAAATTCTTCCTACTAGTAGAGTGAGCTAGGCAATCTTCTCAGGGGAACTGCTGACTAAAATTAGCCTATTACTTTACCTTATCCATCATCTTTTTTGTTTGTCCATAACGGATGCGCAGCCTTCGTGCCTGATAGTCAGTGCAATTTGAGCAAGACACTAACTCTCTAAATGCAGCCGAGCCAGGAAACCACGCTTCCAAGTCCAGTTTCTTGCTGGCTGCGTGATTTAAAGAACCTGTAAAAGCAATAAGCAAAAAAAAAATTGTCAATAGCTATGCAGAACAAAAGATCCAGAGTATTAGGAGCATTGATAGGTTAGAAAATATGAATATGATTTACACGGATGGACATTCAATATAAAGTTCATTTCAGACAAAAAAAAAAAAAAAAGTACAGTATATTTACTGAATGGTTTGCACACCTGGAACAAGCAGGCTGTAAAGGAGTGTCAGAAAATTTTCTTACCAGTTTACTTGCTCCAGGTCACCAAATCCAAATTTCTTTAACCACCTCCGCCCGCCATATAAGGTAATGACGGGCGCAAGGTGGTTCTGGGTTCTCTCGTTCATATGACGTCGTCCCACTCTGACCGCGCATGCGCGGCCACGGGAGCACACCGCGATCGCTGTTGATCTGTGTTCCTGGGACACAGATCATCATCGATCGTGGCAAGGAGCTGTTGGCTGTGTTTTTTTTTCCATGTGATAGACTGTGATCAATCACAGCCTGTCATAAGTGTAAACACAGAGTGGTAACTCACTGTTACCAGCTTCCTCTCCTCACACACAGATCTTGTGTGAGGAGAGGAATCTTCTAATAGTGAGTTACTGTTTTTTACAGTGCATACAGAGATCACAGCCCCTGTCACAGTGCCCATCAGTGTAGTTGTTGCCCATCAGTCTACCTGTCACCATCAGTGTACCTTTCATCCAACAGTGCCCATCAGTGTACCCATTGCCAATCAGTGCACCTGTCACCCATCAGTGCTCCTGTCGCCCAGCAGTGCCTATCAGTGTACCCGTCGCCCATCGGTGTACCTGTCGCCCAACCAGCAGTGCACCTGTCACCTATCAGTGTACCCATCACCCATGAGCCCATCAGTGCTCATCAGCAGTGCATCTGTCGCCCAGCAGTGCCCAACAGTGTACCTGTCACCCATCAGTGTACCTCTCGCACATCAGTGCTCATCAGCAGCGCATTTGTCACCCAGCATTGCACCCGTCACCCAGCAGTGTACCTGTCGTCCATCAGTGCCACCATCAGCAGAGTACGGTCACACAGCCACCATCACCAGAGTACCCGTCCTACAGCAAACTTCAGCACAGCAATCTACCTGTTCCAGTGCCACCAGAGCCTGCCATGTCAAAACAAGTTTACACTAGTGAGGAGATGGTCAAAATCCTCAGTATGACAGATGAGAGAAGCGGGGAGCTCTCACCTTCCGATACCGATTCAGTGTATGAGCCCATAGAGAGTAGTGGGTCAGCGACTGAATCAGAGGAGGAAAGGGTTCCTCTTAAAAAGATACGGCACTCTGAAAACGAGGCAGCCACCAGCAGTGCCATACACCCAAATGGTCAATCTGCAAATGCCAATGGCACTAGACCAATAGAGAAAAGACCCAGTACCAGCACTGGATTATTCCATCAACCCCCAAGAAGCAGGGCCCAAACATACCTCCCAGGTGCTCTTGCCAACCCATTATGGCTGCCCTCCAACTCCGGATTAGCAAGCATTCCCCCTTTCACGGCACAGCCAGGTGTGCAGGCCAACACAGAATATTTCAGCGATTGATTTTTTTAAATTTATTTTTGCCCAACACTTTATTACAGTTTATTGCAGACCAGACAAACCTTTATGACACCCAATTCATTTCTAACAACCCCAGTTCATCCTATGCTTGTCCGTTTGAATGGAGACCACTTACATTGGAGGAATTTAAGTTATTTTTGGGCCTCCCCTCTAACATGAGGCTTACAAAAAAAATATGAAGGACATGCATACTGGTCCACACACACACACAATACACCACATGCCACTTTATTCTTCTATAATGCCCAGGTCACACTACGAGACGATCATGCGTTTCCTTCATTTCAGGGACAATACCCAGTGCCCTCCCAGAGATCACCCAAATTATGACAAATTCGCCCACTTCTTAATTTTTCTTCCCCAAAGATTTACTGAACTTCTTGTCCCCGATAAAAATATATGTGTAGATGAATCCCTTGTCCACTTCACTGGCCGGCTTGGAATTAAGCAGTATATTCCAAGTAAGAGGGCAAGATATGGAGTAAAGCTTTACAAGCTTTGTGAAAGAGCCATGGGATATTTACAGTCAGGTCCATAAATATTGGGACATCGACACAATTCTAACATTTTTGGCTCTATACACCACCACAATGGATTTGAAATGAAACAAACAAGATGTGCTTTAACTGCAGACTGGCAGCTTTAATTTGAGGGTATTTACATCCAAATCAGGTGAACGGTGTTGGAATTACAACACTTTGCATATGTGCCTCCCACTTCTTAAGGGACCAAAAGTAATGGGACAGAATAATAATCATAAATCAAACTTTCACTTTTTAATACTTGGTTGCAAATCCTTTGCAGTCAATTACAGCCTGAAGTCTGGAACGCATAGACATCACCAGACGCTGGGTTTCATCCCTGGTGATGCTCTGCCAGGCCTCTACTGCAACTGTCTTCAGTTCCTGCTTGTTCTTGGGGCATTTTCCCTTCAGTTTTGTCTTCAGCAAGTGAAATGCATGCTCAATCGGATACAGGTCAGGTGATTGACTTGGCCATTGCATAACATTCCACTTCTTTCCCTTAAAAAAAACTCTTTGGTTGCTTTTGCAGTATGCTTTGGGTCATTGTCCATCTGCACTGTGAAGCGGCGTCCAATGAGTTGTGAAGCATTTGGCTGAATATGAGCAGATAATATTGCCTGAAACACTTCAGAATTCATCCTGCTGCTTTTGTCAGCAGTCACATCATCAATAAATACAAGAGAACCAGTTCCATCGGCAGCCATACATGCCCATGCCATGACACTACCACCACCATGCTTCACTGATGAAGTGGTATGCATAGGATCATGAGCAGTTCCTTTCCTTCTCCATACTCTTCTCTTCCCATCACTCTGGTACAAGTTGATCTTGGTCTCCTCTGTCCATAGGATGTTGTTCCAGAACTGTGAAGGCTTTTTTAGATGTCGTTTGGCAAACTCTAATCTGGCCTTCCTGTTTGTGAGGCTCACCAATGGTTTACATCTTGTGGTGAACCCACTGTATTCACTCTGGTGAAGTCTTCTCTTGATTGTTGACTTTGACACACATACACCTACCTCCTGGAGAGTGTTCCTGATCTGGCCAACTGTTGTGTGAAGGGTGTTTTCTTCACGAGGGAAAGAATTCTTCGGTCATCCACCACAGTTGTTTTTCCGTGGTCTTCCGGGTCTTTTGGTGTTGCTGAGCTCACCGGTGCATTCCTTCTTTTTAAGAATGTTCCAAACAGTTGTTTTGGCCACGCCTAATGTTTTTGCTATCTCTCTGATGGGTTTGTTTTGTTTTTTCAGCCTAATGATGGCTTGCTTCACTGATGGTGACAGCACTTTGGATCTCATCTTGAGAGTTGACAGCAACAGATTCCAAATGCAAATAGCACACTTGAAATGAACTCTGGACCTTATATCTGCAACATATGCAAACTGTTGTAATTTCTACACCCGTTCACCTGATTTGGATGTAAATACCCTCAAATTAAAGCTGACAGTCTGCAGTTAAATTACATCTTGTTCGTTTCATTTCAAATCCATTGTGGTGGTGTACAGAGCCAAAAATGTTAGAATTGTGTAGATGTCCCAATATTTATGGACCTGACTGTATATGCATTCCGCTTATATGAAGGCAAAGATTCCCAGCTCCAGCCCCGAGTGCCCAACATACATTGGAACAAGTGGGAAAATTGTCTGGGACCTGGCTTATCCACTTTTCCAAAAAAGCTATCACGTTTATATGGATAATTTCTACACCAGTCTGCCCCTTTTCCAATACCTGTACCGTGAGTAAACCCTAGCCTGTGGTACCCCCCCCCCCCCCCAAAAACAGAAAGGGCTTCCCACAATTTTTAGTGAATACCAGGCTACAAAGGGGGGAATCAGCAAGCCTAAGAAATGAGGAAGTGCTGGCCCTGAAGTGGAAGGATAAGAGAGACTTGCGTCCTGTCCACGAGGACACCTCGGTCAAAATTACTGGAAGACACGGTCCAATTCAAAAACCTGCGGCTATCCAAGATTATAATCTCTACATGGGGGGGGGGGGGGGGGGGGAATGGATTTCAACAATCAAATGTTGCAGCCCTATTTAGCAACAAGAAGGTCCCATTTCTGATATAAAAAGGTTGCAATCTATTTTATACATTTGGTTATATATAATGCGTACGTCACCTGCACCAAATCCACAGAAAGACCAACTGCCCTCCTTAAATTTATAGAAGTTGTCAAGTCTCTTATCTTTCAGCAAGGATCCCCCCCAGAAAGCATTCGTTCCGATTCTGTGAGCAGACTTCATGAGCGCCATTTCCCTAAGATGATTCCACAAACAAGCAGGTCGAAGACGCCAAAAAAGATGTCGGGTATGCAGCAGAAGGAGTTAGAAAAGACAAGTTTTCACTGTCCCCAGTGTCCCTCCCAACCAGGCCTGTGCATTGGAGACTGCTCCGAACGGTTTCAAACGTTACTAAGATATTAACCCATATTTCAAACTGCCTGCCATTTCCCCATTTCAATATCTCTGCTGATCATTTGCCTGCTGCCCCAACCAACCATGCTACTGCCTTCGACCTTAACCGACCCCGGCCTGTTTATCGACTATGCCTTTGCCTGCCGTTTGCAAATGTTTATCCACCACGTTTCTGCCTTCCACCTGAACTGACCCTGGCCTGTTTATTGACTATGCTTCTGCCTGACGTCTGGATTATCAACCATGTTTATGCCTTGTTCCTGGGCTGACCTCGGCCTCGACTATGTTTTTTTGCCTGCTGCTTGGATTGATATTTTGCCCTGCTACTGTAGTAGTAGGATTCAGAAGAACACAGGGGTCTCACATATGTGAGGGGCTTCAGAATAGAGTTCTGAGTAGAGAAAACCAGTTTTTGGTTTTCTCTGGGTTTTGTAATTCCCAGAACAGGGTCTGGTTGTCCGGAGGCTTCAAAGAGATTGGGTGGGAC